ATTCCCAGGTGTATTTTGGGGTTCCCAGGTGCATTTTGGGTATTCCCAGGTGTATTTTGGGCATTTTCAGGTGAATTTTGGGTATTCCCAGGTGTATTTTGGGCATTTTCAGGTGCATTTTGGGTATTCCCAGGTGTATTTTGGGGTTCCCAGGTGTGTTTTTAAGGTCCTCAGATGCATTTTGGGGATCCCAGGTGCATTTGGAGCATTCCCAGATACATTTTGAGGGTTGCCAGGTACATTTTGAAAGTCCCCAGATACATTTTGGGGGTGGATTTTGGGGGTTCCCAGGTGGATTTCAGGGTCCCAGGTGTATTTTGGGGTTCACAGACACATTCTGGGGGTGGATTTGGGGGTTCCCAGGTGGATTTCGGGGTTCACAGACACGTTTTGGGGGTGGATTTTGGGATCCCAGGTGCATTTTGGGGGTGGATTTGGGGGTCGCAGGTGGATTTGGGGGTCCCAGGTGCATTTTGGGGTTCACAGACACATTTTTGGGGTGGATTTGGGGGTCCCAGGTGCATTTTGGGGGTTCCCAGGTGGATTTGGGGTTCCCAGGTGGATTTGGGGGTCCCAGGTGTATTTCGGGGGTTCCCAGGTGCATTTCGGGGTCCCAGGTGCATTTTGAGTGTGGATTTTGGGGTCCCAGGTGTATTTCGGGGGTTCCCAAGTGGATTTGGGGGTCCCAGGTGCATTTTGGGGGTTCCCAGGTGGATTTGGGGGTCCCAGGTGCATGTTGGGGTTCACAGACACATTTTGGGGGTGGATTTGGGGGTCCCAGGTGCATTTCGGGGTCCCAGGTGCATTTTGAGTGTGGATTTTGGGGTCCCAGGTGCATTTTGAGTGTGGATTTTGGGGTCCCAGGTGCATTTTGGGGGTGGATTTGGGGGTCCCAGGTGCATTTTGGGGTTCACAGACACATTTTGGGGGTGGATTTGGGGGTCCCAGGTGCATTTTGGGGGTGGATTTGGGGGTCCCAGGTGCATTTTGGGGGTGGATTTGGGGGGGGCAGGTGCATTTCGGGGTCCCAGGCGCATTTTGAGTGTGGATTTGGGGGTCCCAGGTGCATTTCGGGGGTTCCCAGGTGGATTTGGGGGTCCCAGG